CTCTCTGAAGTTCCTTTCGATCCTCTCTGGTCTTGACTAGCAAATGTTGCTACCCCACTACTCACCCCCTCCTGCCTTTCCAGGTCATTAAATACACTAAACACAGGACCTAGTATGGAAACTTACAGCCCCCACTTTTGAAATGATGAAAGTTGACCATTTAATCCTACTCTTTGCTTTCCATCTCCTAGCCAGTTTTTGATCCATGACAATATAGTTTGCTTCTCACCCCCATGACTACTTAGCTTCATTAGTAGCCTCTCGCACAGAATCTTGTCAAAGGCCTTTTGAAAGTCACTGTATGTATACCATGCCTCCAATGGAAATAAGAGCCAGCAGAATGGCTCAGTCCTCTAACTTCTACCATCTAATCTAGGGGGCAGTATTCTGCTACCAGCTCCCAGCCCACTCACTCCTTGCTCTTTGCTCGGATGCCAGCTGTGATGCTGGTGGATCTAGGCACTGATCTGCTAGGGACTCTCTCCCAAAAGGCAAGGGAAGGGTGAGTGGATTGGCATATGGAGCGAACATATCAGCATGTCACTGACTGAGCTTGCTCCGTAGTCACTACCCTGCTCCGACAAGTACTGTAACCTCCCAGCCACTCACCCTGATGGGATGGTGACACAGACACATCAGCCTGGAAGCTATTTCAGGAGCACTTCAGCACCCTGCAAGCCCTGCTACAAGACGCCTGAAGCTCCAGCATAATTGGGACTGGTCCATGGACATCAGCTCCAGTGCTGAACCTAGTTATTTGAGCATTGGGAAAACAAGAGTGACTACATTAAACTAACACCACCACCTGCTACCATATAGCCACAATCTATATGCCCACAACTCCCCACAGGAGAAGTTCTAGCCTGGGAACCCCTGGCATCAAAGACATCAGCGCAGCCTGTGGTACTGTCACAGTGGGTCAGATACTCAGTACAATCCCAGGGGGAGAACGGTCAGTTACAGGGAAAGCTCTCGATGTTCTGGGCTTCTTTCAAATGAAAATGCTGGGCTGCTCTGGGTGGGGGAAAAAGGTAAAATCCATTAGCAGCTCTGACTCATGGATTTGCTACAGCTGGCAGCTGTCACCTAAGCCATGAGGTTTGTTTAATTGTACCTTCCGGAGTCTGCAGTTCAGGCAGCACAATGGCATAGGCGGGTAGGACTGCTCCACAACGTTCCCAGCTGGTGCTTCTCCACCCTGCCGGGAGCTGGAGTAGTAGAACGCCCAGCACAGCCATATTCCCTGCTGTGGAGCACAACACTTGAGTAGGGGACACTTCTTAGAGAGCGAATGCCCTCACCTCCAGCTGAACAGTCACTGGCAGTGAAGTATGAAAGAATGAGCCTCAGCCGTAACCTCACCGGGCATGTCTCACTTCAGGCTGCAGATATAAATTCCAGCTCAAGGTGACATACCTGCACTAGTTCTGATCGAGCTACCGCACTAAAAATAGAGTCGCTGTGGCAATTCGAGTGCCGGGACTGGCAAGCCACCAGAGTACATGCCTAGCATCTTTGATGGGATTGGATTTGGGGCAGCTAATCCCTCCCACCGCTCATGCTGAAGTTAGATTTACTGGTGGTGGCTGTGACCTTGGCCAATAATAACAAAGGCCTGGACTCCAAAGGTCACGTGACTGAGCGAGGTATAGATATTATTCAGAGGGAAAGGCAGAGTCTGAATGAAAGAAATGACTCAGCCACTTTTAGACCCAAATCAAGTAATTAAAAATATCTGAAGGCCATCACACGAGGACACAGCTGAGTAGAATTTAGTCCTGCTCTGGATCCCAAGTGCTCAGTTTACAAGTGGAAAAGACAGGGAGGAGGGGGAACCTCCCAACTCTTAGCCTTACACACTTCCCCTAGGCTCTGAGGGTCACATCACAGTGGGTGTTACCCAGGGATTTGCAGCAGGAATTGAGTTGACCTTGAGATGGAAAGAACCTAGCTTGATTATCAAAAATCACCTCCAATAAAAAAATCCACACACTTCTGTTGCCCAAAATAGGCTCTTGTTCATACCTGTTCATCACCATTGTCTTCAGTGGGTGTAACTGATGGGAACTTAGTAAAAAGTCTCTTTGTGTTGTACTAACGGAGAGGCAGCATGGTCTAGTAGATAATGCACTAGAGTAGGATTCAGTAGACCTGGGTTATAGTCCCAGTTTTATCATTATTATGGTCTGACAGGCAAGTTGCTTCACCAACCTGTGCTTCAGTTTCTCCATCTGTAAAAATGGGAATAATGATACTGACCTTCTTTGTGAACTAATGGCAACCCTAGTGCTTAGAGATCTACAGGTGACAAGAGCTATGCAGCAAAACAAAAAGCCCCTAACAACCAGACTCTGCAGCTCAATCAGTCTTAGCGGTGATGTTTCTACAGTGCTAAGGAGTAAAATACTGGAGGGGAAAAAAAACAACAACATCTTGGTTTTGTCACTGAAGCCACTAGATCTGACTGAGTCCAAACAGGGAACTGGGATCTGATGAGTAAGAAGGTGCCATTTTTATGTAGTTACTTTCCAGAGCAGATGCACATTTCGACATGGGAAAAGGGCTTTGAGAGCCCTAGCAGAAAGAAACACCAAAGAATTAAGGTATTATCGGACAGTAGGGCCAAATCCTTCATTCCACCATTCATACAAGATTCCCTTTTATTTTACAGTAAATGTAGGGTCAGGAATGTATGCTTTGGTCCATAGGGTGACCATGCTATTTAGGACATCATTAGCTCTATTGGCAGTGTAATAAATTCATAAGTTTAGAGTTATTAACTATTAAGATAGTTTTACTCTATAGCTTCCTGAGGCTTCTACAATTATCCTCTGGGGGGTTTAGGTTTGGGGCTATTAAAATTAAGGCTGTAAAGCGATTTAAAAAATTAATCACAATTAATTGTGCTGTTAATAATAGAATACCATTTATTTAAATATGTTTGGATGTTTTCTACATTTTCAAATATATTGATTTCAATTACAGCACAGAATACAAAGTGTACAATTCTCACTTTATATTTATTTTGATTACAAGTGTTTGCACTGTAATAAAAAAAAAGAAATAGTATTTTTCAATTCATCAAATACAAGTACTGTAGTGCAATTTCTTTATCATAAAAGTTGAACTTACAAATGTAGAATTATGTACAAAAAATATAACTGCATTCAAAAATAAAACAAAGTAAAACTACAAGTCCAATCAGTCCTATTTCTTGTTCAGTCACTCAGACAAACAAGCTC